GACCAGCCGGTAAGTGAAGACTAGGCCTCAGACTGGGCACTCAAAAATGGAGGCATCCGATTTCACTAGTCACTTTTGAAAATCTTGGACTATGAATTTACTACCACTTTCTATCAGATAATAGTGATTGTTATCTAAAAAGCTTGTACAGTGGATTCTTGACTTTTTTTTAAACCTTCACTTTTTCTGTATAAGACAGGAAGGTTATAGTATGAGCAGAAAACCTCCAAGAGGTAATATTCCTACATTTTGACAGCTTTTCTCACAACATGATGTAAGTGTGTACACGCAATGATATTATAATACAAAATATGGAAAAATACTCAGTTACTACAATAAAATATTAAATTCAACCAAGCAAGAATTGACAATTGGCTCTCTCGGTTTTCATCTCTCTTCCTACTCCCTCTGAGGTTCCATCCTGAACCAAAGCCAAAACTCCTTTTCTAATACAATGCAAACTACTACTAATTTCCTATACATTTCCTTGCACAGATTATATCTTAACTTTTCCATTGCCAATAGCGCCCAACCCCTGTAGAACAGCTAAATGATGTTAAAAGGATACTGTGCTCTTTGAAATTACTACTGTAGGTAATTTATGAAGCTTGCTTTCAGAACTTTCTGGGTGAAAAACACTCTGTGAATGCAAGGAATTAGAATATACTGCACTAATTTCCCTCCTGCTTTTAAGAGGTCCTACTATTTCATCAGAGGATTGTTACCATTTAATATTTTAACAAAGTTAGCACTGTTTTATTAGTTAAGTGGTTCTTCTGATGCTAATCGTTACTTTTTATTAACTGCCAATACAGGACCCCTACATTCTGCCAGGGTTACAAAAACTGATGTTCAGTGACAGAAACAGGCCTAGCAATATAGGTTTTAACTTACAGTGTGATGTTCAAGTACAGTTTATATATGGCAAAAAGAACTTAAGAGCTTCTCACTTTTTAAATTAAATCACAAAAATTGCTTCCCTCATTCTTCATTCTGTGAAGATTATTTTTTCCTTTAATTACCTGTAACTCTCCTTGCCACCATCCACTAGGGTTTTTCTTCAGAATAAGTATCAGCTGTCCTGGAGCCAGACTAAGCTGTTCTGTCCCTGATGCAGCATACGCTGTAGTCACCTGGGCAATCTCTGAAATAAGAAAAAGACTGGTGAATAATGAACAAATAGAATAAGCTGAAGTTTTGTAAGTTACATCAGACTCACCAGGTTTCTTATTTAGTGCCCCAGTTCTGCCAGCAGTACCAGAACCCTACAATCAAAAGGTACACGATTTTAATTTGCAGTGCTAACAGCAGAATTTACTGCAATTTTCTTTTAATATTCTTCTTTTGCCACAAATAATTTTTTTTATTTTTGTCCCTTTACCAAGCATAATGGTTTGAAAAAAGGCAAATCACTTTCATGACCTAAGCATTTATGCCAGATACACCACCAGAGAGCTACAATTTAATGTCCAAATTTTAGTATGTGAACATACTACCTAGATACAAGACATACAGTGTAACTTCTTGGGTTTTTTTAAGTCCAAATTCTAGCAAAATACAGTAAACGTATACAGACAAAAATAAAACCTTTTTGCTTTAAGTAACAAAACCCAAAACAAAAACTCACATCTTGATCCTTAGGTTTGACATAGTTTGATGGAAAGATTCCTGTTCTGTCAGCAATGCTTCCTGTCCACCATTCTCCATCTTTCTGAGTGACTAATATTTCTTCTCCTTCAGCAAAAGTCAAATCACCAGGTTCGGAGCTTGTATAGGAATAGAGTGCAACATACTCTGTTCAAACAAACACACACAGAGAAACTGCATTAGTTACAGTGAAAAAGTGTTTCAGCTGTAATCAAGAGAGGCCAAACTAAGTTGAATTTTATCAAAACCCTAATACAGTAAATATAACAAGAGGCATGCTAGTCACTTTTTAAAAATCTCTCATATAAGGGTTGCTCAAACAACTTCATAGTATGTACCAACCTTCCCTCTCACTTAAATTGCATCGATCTCACCTCCCATTTGCAATTGTGCAGACTCTCTCTCGGATGTGCATGCACATAACATTTCTGTGACAAATGTAGCAACCACAGGTAACTGCTTTCATGGAAAAGTAATATATCTGTAGTGTCTGAATGTGATTTAGCAGATGGAGATTAGGAGAGTTAGTACTATGTAAACAGTGAGCGCTCTATGGATTATCAGTGGTCCACAGACCACAGTTTAAGAATGGTTACATGTGAGAGATTTCATCTTGGACCCACACTTCAGCACAATCATTTATATTCAGAAAAGCCATAAGAGGAAATACTCCATACACATGGTGAACTCCATAATATCTGATTATCATGGTAGAGCTCAAAAGCCCAAGTGACTTTTCTAAGCATAGTCTACACACATTCTGAATAATCTGAAAATGGGTGGGAAAATGGGTAAATACATATCAAATTTAAAAGTTTAGAGATTGTTTCTCACAAATTATTTTTCCCATTTGAACTTATACTTTCTCCACTTAAATTCATAAAAGGAAAAAACCGATACACTTAAGAATCTAAAAAGCACATGTGACTGTATCAGATCTCTATAACAAACAAACAGTCACAGATCTGATCAAGGTATAATTATATGCATATTCATTATTAATTTACATGCTATTAAACAGAAATTAGTTTTATAATTTTGTAACTGACATTATAATTGCATGCTTACCCTCTCCAATGGTATAAGATGGTGTACTAGGCTTCTTGTTTACAGCTGCATAAATAGTTTCGGGTCTACAGATATAAAGATCGAAGTGATTTAGTCGGCTGGTTTAACAAAACGTTCTTCAATTCGTGATAAAGATTTAGTACAATGTAATTTTCGTATTCTTTGAGAGATGAAAAATTGCAGCCAAGCATTATTTCATTCTCAATTGGCAGATATTACTAATGCTGTTGTCCCCATTACATTTTTTAATTAAGCTGTTGCAAGTGGTCACTAACAATACTGCAATATCTCCTAAATATCACATAGGCCATGCTTAAGGAATATCAGAAATACTGCAATAACATTAATCATTAGCAAAAGCTAAACAGTTAAACATTTATTGGGGATCAAGGCAGGTTTATCCTAAGAGCAAAAAATATGACTTCAATTAATCATATGGAAGACTCCTAATTTAAGCTACAGGGCTTGGAAAACAGTCGCAAATTGTGGTGATCAAGACATATACAAAATTTTTATTTTAGGTGTAACAACTTGACATTTATTTAAAATTCGCCTTATTGTAGAAGATCACAAAAAACTTGAAGTCATGTATGTGCAAAGATCACTTCAACCACCACCCTGTAATCACCTCTATATTGGAATGAAGCAGCCATTCCAAGGCAGCAGCACTACTCAGATTTTCAGCAATTAACTGAACTGTTAGCTTGAATACTAGGACAGTCTGGCATTACTTTTGCCAGCTAGGAAAAACACCACTATTTCTTCAAGATGTGCCACAGGAGTTTATAATGATTAATGGCAAAGACATCTCAATTTTGTACATCATATAAAAGTTAACACCTCTAGCAGCGGAGTGCCAGCTGAGATACTGAATCAAGAGGAAGAAGCATGTCACCTGTTGAATAACCACACACCACTTTTTTCTAGCACCCAGCTTGAAAGATCTCCCATTTACTGAGCAGGCCCAACATTACTTAGCTTGTGAAAGCTGATTAAATTACAGCCCACGATGGCATGGTGCAGGTCATACATGCTATTTAGTCCCCATAATTTAAAGTATCCCCATGTTTTTTACTCTATTTTCAGCTGTTGAATACAAAAATACCAACAGTCTCACTTACTCCTCTCGTTTGTTTTCATTTCCAGGCAAGATCTTGACATAGGATTTAGGAAACCATCCCCTTCCTCCATGCACTTCTCCAAACCACCAGTTTTCCTGCTTCTCCAGCACAGTAATTATATCGTTTTTTGAAAAGTTCAAGTGGTTATCTTTTTTTGCAGTCCAGGAGCAAAGTGCCTGTGCTTTTAAATTCTCCACAGCTTGTCCCTGTTCAAGTAAAAATACAGATGTTAATCAGCTTTAGTACATATTACTTATGCAAGTTTCAAAAATCGCCTCTTGTACTCTAGGTGTGTTCATTCCTAAATGCCAGTTGAATGACTTGCTGTCTTGACCGCAGTATTTTGCACTGCCATATGTGGTATGTGGACTCCAGAGTAGTCTCTCGACTCTGCTTCCTACTGGCCAATTAAGTTAGAAATGTTGGAGGGCAGGTCTTCACTACTCACCCACTACCCACCGTCTCATCTAGACGTGGATAAATCGATCCCCGAACACACTCCCCGTTGACTCCGGAACTCCAGCTCGCAAGAGGCAGAAGCGGAGTCGATGGGGGAGCGGCAGCGGTCGACTTGCCGCCGTCCTCACGGCCAGGTAAATCGACCTAAGATACGCCGACTTCAGCTACGCTATTCGCGTAGCTGAAGTCGGCGTATCTTAGGTCAACACCCCACCCACCCCAGTGTAGACCAGGGCTTAGACATGTATCTGGTTCTACAAAACAACACTGGCTGCAGTGTCAGCAAAAATATGCAATGCTTCTAAGAGTAGCTCTGGAAGGGCCCACACATTGGTTGTCTTCTGCCTGGAGGTAAAATATACCTTTTGGTAGGAAGAAGGAAAAGTACATACAAATAGTGGTTCTCAAATGGCTAGGTAGGGAAATCTGAAAGATCATCTTGAGGCCCAAACTGATGCGATAAACACATACTTACCTATTAGGTTCCTCCACACACTGCAGCTGCTATCCTTACAAAATCCCAAAGTTGAAAGAAATTAACCCAGAGTAACACAATACAGTGAAAGAAAAAAATGGTTACTTACCTTCTCGTAACTCTTGTTTTTCAAGATGTGTTGTTCATGTCCATTCCAATCAGGTGTGTATGCGCATGCACGGGAGCCGGAAGATTTTTCCCCTAGCAGCATCCGTTGAGTCGGCCTGGGTGCTCTCTGGAGTCGTGCCTTCATGGCGCTCAATATAGAGCCTGCCGACCCGCCACCCCCTCATTTGCTTCTTGCTGGCTATTCCGACAGCGGGGTAAGTGGGTGGATATTGGAATGGATATGAACAACATATCTCGAAGAACAACAGTTACGAGAAGGTAAGTAACTGTTTTTCCTTCTCCGAGTGTTTGTTCATGTCAAA